TAGACAAAACTTTTTTTCATTTCGGTTAGTAGCTGCGTGGAATGACCTTCCTCCGACGGTTGTACACGCTCCTTCTCGAACCCAATTTAAAGCACTATTAGACATTTATTTATGCGAATCCTCGCGCTGGCGAGCATACTGCCCCTCGCTGAGAACATAAAGAGCAGTGCTACACCCTTTTTTCACTTGCGCCTTTCAGGTGAACGACAGCCACTGACCGACAAGAACAAAACCGACCCGGGAAACTTGAGCAAAAGCCTCGATCCTGTGTATCAATCCGTGAATCCGTGACTGTGCAGAGGGTGCCGCCCGGATTGCCTTTGATTTGGAAAATTTTGTGCCATGTGCGTATACATGCGTTGAAACCGTGTCAAAAAAACAGGACTACCATCCGCCGGAGTCCCTTCACCCTGGAGGCAACAAGGAACCCTGCGCATTTTCAGGGGTCCATGAACCTAGAAGACAGTCCGGCTTTCCACATGTATGCACACAAGCTGGATCTGTTGAACTGAACGCGTTGTTTGAGCTTGCCCTCAAGGTTGATTTAACGGCTTAAATGATCCACAGCTGGCGGTTCCAATGGACGAGAAAACGCCTCTCATAACAGCCGGTAAGTCTGGACGCAGGCCTTACTCAGCTGCGAATCTTAAAGAGGCGCCAATACGTCAGCCTCCTTCTAGGCCCGTCGTCGAACAAGCTCGTACCACTACCGGAGACAACCACGCCACAATCAATTGTCAGGTTTGCAACCATGTGGTTTCAATCGAGAATCGGGAAAAACAAATGGTTGTACGCTGTCCGGCATGTGCAGAGGCCACGGTAACATAATATCCTGTAGGGTAAACTCCTTTTCAGCCCATAAAAGGTCCACCAGCTGGAAAACAGTATGTTCGTTGTCCATGCAACTGCTTGCTGATATGCAGCACAGCAACCACGAGAGTTGGCTGCCCCAGGCCCGAATGTCAGAAAGTCATTGTCCTGTACGAGGTAAGTGCTCCTTGCTTCACCTGGCTTAGCTTCGAAGTTGAGCTGTGTGTACGTCTGTGTAGTTAGATACCGACCCCAAACTTGGAACATGAAAAGTCCGGACAATCCCATTAATCAGTTGAAGTTGATTTACATCGGTGCTTATTCAGTGGACACTGGATTCATTGAGCTACCGCATGAAGATAAGCCTCTCAGAGGGCGTAGTAATTAGAGAAATTAGCATATGTGCTGCTGCCCGCCCAGCCAGCGACGGTCGGTCTCGTGCACCAGAGCACGTTAGCGAGATGTCGAGTCTTTCCTGCATGGTCACCGGAAAAAGCAGTAAATAGCGTCACGGTAGGTATGTTTCCAAAACGGTTTGTACGGTGTGCGATAGCGACTTTGCCGATAATCGCCCCGATGCTAGAGTCGACCGGTGCGCCCACGGACACATTCAGAGTCACATGTCTCTGGCCGCCTTATGGTGTCAGAGCTATAGTTGGTTGGCACTTGAGCAGACTACGATCTACGCCCGGTTTGAGATACCTCACAGTTTTGCCAGGCGAGCTGCACAGAGGCGACTCTCAAGGTATCCAGTCAAGCGGGCATCATTCTAGCCGGCGATTTAGGGGATGCCGATCCTTGTACAGCTTGTCACAGCGGCCTCCGGATCGCCACAGATGCGCAATCAGTTGAGATTGATAAGCAGTTTGCTTGGAATTTGAAGGGGCGAGATGGCCGAAGTGGGTAGAGCGCGAATTTACTGACCGGAAGGCCCGTGGTTCGAACCCGACCTCTGCCACTCGACTTCCCCTGTCTAGGCTTGGGCAACCTGGCAGTATCTCAGCCCTCGTGCTTCCTTCTGGTGGCATGGCAGGTAGGCACCGAAAGGGTGCTACAGCTGAACGATTTTTTTGGAATTTGAATTATTTCTTATGTGCGGTGCATCCAGTGCCACGCGAGCTCACTGTAAAAGCGCTGGTAGCTTGAAAGCTGGTGGCTTTGATTCTCAGGCGTTTCGGCACACGTTAATCCTAATTTTTCCTTCAGACAGCCGACAACCGTGTTTTTCGGTCTCAAATCTGCTTTTACTTTCGTTGATCAGAAACTGTGTCAGTATCTGACAAAGGGTGCACCTTCTAAATTGTTGTCTCTGGTAAGGGCCCTGTATGCCTCCTCCCCTGGACGCGTGTCTGCGGTCGATTCTCTTGAGTTTACTACATCCGATGGTGTCAGACAGTGGTGCCCTCTGTCGCTCTTTCCCTTCAGTTTTGTAACAGATATACTTTTTGGAGTGACGCTAACGTCGGAGATCGAAATGCTATTGCCACGTCCGCTCACGGACATCGAGTACGCCGATGATTTTCCTCTCCTTGGATCGGACCCTTAGAACTGCATGCTATTTTAACTAATGTGAATAGTTGTGCATACTTCGGTTTGCTCTTCGCCCGTGTAAAGCATAAAGTACCACTGCAAGACCGTGGGATCGAACACAGACATTATGCTTGCGGGTGAAACGGTCGATCTGGTAGAAATGCTCATCTATCTGGAAAGCTGCTTAAATCCAGGTTGACTGGCAAAATACGAAATCTTTCCCCGGATTGTGAAGGTTAAGCCAGCCTCTGACATTGGCGGTGGTCTAATCTGCCCTACTTTACGGGTCACAGGTGTGGCTGTTGGATGCGTGAGAATTTCGGAAACTGTTTAGCCATCAGTGCCCCCGAAACCTGGCGTGGGTCTGGTGGGGACATCAGGCGAGTCCTGCTGAGGTAGTCCAGTTGGTTTTCGGGGAAACCTCTCGACAGATTAGCTGGTTACACCCCACAGGTTACGCTGTTAACGCCATGTGTTCCGTACACCAGAGGACACTTTACCTGTAGAGCACTCTGCGCCCAGCCTTGTGTCGGATGGAGACGACCCAGGGGTGGTCAGTGCGTGTCCAGGCAACAAAGCACAAAGGCCCTTGTTAGTCAACTCTGTCGCGTTGTTAACTGTCGTCTTCCCGGATGGGGGCCGTGGACTGAAACAAACTAGTTTTTATTGACCCTGACAGATGTGGCTGTCACGCAGCCAATGGGGTTGTTGCGTCAAGACTCTCGCCTTCACTTCGTAGTTCTCATTCCCTGCCATATTGGACAAAGAGATCCATTTATCGTCCCTACTCAGTTTGGACCGTCGCCCATGCGCACGCGAATCCCTCAAACGCCAAATA